CGATGGCTGTTCGCTCGCTTTAGGCGTTTCGAAACCCTAAAGATCCCTCTTGCCCCATGATGCGTATCAAAGGGCTCCAAGGGTTTAGGGTTTAGAGTTTAGGGAGGGTGGGATGGGGTTTAGGGTTTAGGGGTGGGATGAAGGCAGCCCTTGTACTCGTAAGAGATCCTTGATCCTACCTACCTCCAACCCTAAACCCTAAACCAAACCCTAAACCCTAAACCAAGAGCCTGGGGAGCACCAGCACGAAGTACTCGATCCCTAGATTATTGGAGGCCTTGAAAGGTGGGTTTGGGCTTAAGCGTTTAGGGTTGAAGGTTTAGGGTTTAGGGAACAAGGTTTGAGGTTGTTCTGGGTTTAGGTTCACTTACCAAGAGAGTCCATATACTACTATTGTGGAAGTAGGTACTTTAAAACCATAACAGGGATGGTCATTCGGGACCTAATTCTAGAAGGGTAGTGTACATGGACCGTCTGGGTTAAGTATGCGCAGTATGAAAAGACACAAGTGCTATGTTAGCCCTAAACCCTAAACCCAAAACCCTAAACCCTAAACCCTAAATTGAGTTGCCTCGAACTCCCTGGGCAGAATCCAACTTCAGGCTGTAAACTGTTACCCTAAGGCTCTAAGGACTCATAGTTTAAGGCTTTTTGGGCCCAAAGACCATACTATGTAAGGCTTTTGGGCTATTTTGAGCCTTAGGGTTAGTCTTCAAACTCCACCCAGTAGCAGCTCGCCTTAGAATTCAGGGGAAGCTATGCAGCCTAGGGTTTAGGGTTTACCCATAGGCTCCATGGTAGTTCCTTTTTGTGATCTGTATTTAGGATCTTATTAGGTAATCCCAAAAAGGAACTACTATGGAGCCTATGGGTAGGCCTTAGGTCTGATTTAAGGTTCAGGGTTTAGGGCTTGCGTAGAGTTTAGGGGCTTAGGGTTCATGGTTGAAGGCTTAGAGCTTAGGGGCTTAGGGTTTAGGGTTTAGGGTTTAGGATTTAGGGACTAGGGTTTAGGGTTTACGGTTTAGGGTTTAGGGGATTAGGATGATTTACATATGCCACATCTAGCCGGTTTGGAACAATTTTTGCTCTTCAGGGAAGCCGGAAGAAGGGAATCCACAAGTCAGTTTCGGTTATGGGTTTAGAGTTTAAGGGATTTAGGGTTTAGGGTCAGCTACTTGTGCAACCTGCCGCTGCTTGCGAACAGCATCGGCGGTCCCGTTGCTGCACAGGCCATGAGTCGCAGGAAATCCATCTTTGACTCTCACGTGTCGGTGATGGTTTGTTCCAGCTTGACGGTCCCAGAAATTCAGGTATGCATCTCATGGGCAGTTCTCTAAATGAGGGTCCCTTTTTGGGTCCCGATTGTAGTACGGCACCCTTTTCGCAAGGAGCCTAACAGGGACCCAAGTTTAGAGAACTACCCTCATGCTTGTGACCCTTGCGTCCTTTACTGGCTCCTTCCCGGAGAACCAATACCCCTTAATTAAGCAATATGCCTTAAACTATAGGGGCCTTAGTATTATGATTGATGGTATATTCCATAATTAGGGGGTATTGGGTTCTCTGGGTTACTGGTCATGCCTCTAGACGGCCCTCAGTCCCAACAGTTTAAGGGCCTAGACCCTGAAGCCTGAGCTCTGCCAGGAATCCCGATCCTCTTAAACCCTAAAACCCTAAACCCTAAAGTCCAAACCCTAAACCCTAAAACCCTAAACCCTAAACCTTAAAACCCTAAACCCGAAACCCTCCCTATGGGCCTTGGCCGGCTCGTCATGAAGGGTATCTGGTGCGACACCAGGCTCTTTCGACACGTGGTAACCTGAATGACCGAAGCTGGAGCAAACTTCACACGTTAACACTTTGAGTCGACGCCCTGGCTTTCGCGATTGTACAGCTTGGCGCTTTGCAGAAAAAACGAGGTGTTGGAGGGGGGGCGGGACAGGGAGCACAGATTCATGCAACTCCACTAGTTCTACTGTCCTACTCTTCGAAACAGACGGTTCTATGCACGATGAAACAATCGAGATGTGCAACATGAACACGAACTGCCTCAATGATACTGAGAGTAGCAGCTACCAGAAATCTGGACATGCCGATATTTCTGGTGTTGTTGATGATGATGGTGACAACTGTCTCCTGTTCATCGTGCTGCCGCTGCTGCTGCCGATGATGATGTTGATTGTGTGGATGGTGATGTTGATGATGACGGTGATGATGATGGTGATAATGGTGGTGGTGATGATGTTGATGTTGATGTTGTTGTTGATGATGATGATGGTGACGATGAACATGCATATGATGAAGATGATATTGATGGTGATGTTGTTGTTGATGATGATGATGACGGTGATGATGATGGTGACGGTAGTCGTGATGACGACGATGATGACCCGACGAACAAGACTTGAACTAACGATGCCGACGGTGATGAGCGGAATGATGCTCAGTGTGATGATGCACTTCAAGATGACAATAGCACTGGTGGTGGCAATGGCTTCGACCATAAGCGTGGCAGTGCAACTGCTGCTCATGAGGCGATCAGGAGGTGAAGGAGGGGGCAGAGAACGGTGATGTTCGCATATGAGGACAGTATTGACCACGATGCAGGTTCAGGTTGCGATATGGATGTGAGGAGTACATAAGTAAACCCTAAGCTCGGACCCAATTAGTGAGTACAGAGATCTTGTGGTGGCAGTTGCTGAGTTTTTTCCTGAGCTCGCAAGACTTTCGGGCCTTGCAAACAGCCAAAAGGGGCCTTCCTAAGTAGCTGCATAGGGTTCTAAACCCACGACGTAGTAGTATGATTTGGGTTAGTTTCCCCCATATTCGGTACTGGGCCTAAACCCTAAACCCTAAACAGCAATCCAAACGAGCATGTTGCAAGGCCCCCCAGAAGACCCTGAAAGCGAATCCATACACACTCCTGGGTTTAGGGCTTAGGGGAAAAACTCACCGCAGCAACCTAGAAAGACAGCGACCGCAACACTGTGCAGCTCTATGAAGCCACATTTTTTCCGCGGAAGACCCCTAACGCCCAAACCGACAACAACAATCAGAAGAGCGGCTGTACTGGTGTTGGCAGCAGTAGCAAGAGCCAACAAAGAGGGATTGAAGCAACAAGCACCCACTAAACAAAAGGAAACAACAAAACAAATAGAAACGGTACACAAAACCCTAAGCCCCTGAACCCTAAGCTTTGTTTCCCCCTTAAGTTATAGGAACTCTTTGTAAGTAACCTTTCACTTGAACCCGAGGCTTAGAAACATTTTAGATAACCTATCTTGATCGTCATCTTTATCTGCATCGAGGTCTATATCTGTATGGCCCTAAAGCCCCCAAAACCCTACCACCTTAAATTAAAGCTCTAAGCCCTAAATCCTAAACCCTCTTTAAAAAGGAACCCCTAAGGCCTTAATAAGGGGACCTGAAAGGAACCCGCAAAACCCTAAACCCCTAAACCCTAAATCCTAGACCCTAAACCCTAATCCCTAGACCCTAGACCATAGACCCTAAACCCTAGACTCTAAACTCTAAACCCGAAACTTTAAACCCCAAAAGAAACGCCCCCGAAGCTCAGGGCACGACCCGGGCTACACCCAGGAGGCCGCGTCCGTGTGCAGGGCCGCTCCCTTTGCATTTCTTTAGAGGGTTTAGGCTTTAGGGTTTAGGCTTTAGGATTTAGGTTTTAGCGTTTAGGGTTTAGGATTTCTAGGATTTGGGGTTAAGGGTCTAGGGTTTAGGGTTTTGGGGGTTTGATTCAAGGCCCCTCTATTAAGGCCTTAGGGGTTCCGTAAAAAGGGGGTTTAGGATTTAGGGTTTTAGGGGTTCCTTTAAGGTCCCCGTATTAAGGCCTTAGGGGTTCCTTTTAAAGGGGGTTTAGTTTCTTTCCCGGAGCCTGCGAGCAAATTCGGCCGACTCGTTCGGACTTGCTTCAGCACGACCCAACTGCCGCGCAACAGTTTCTCCAACAGCGTCATCCATATATTGCCACCGCCCGCGTGCCCGTCACTGAGAACATCACGCCTGCTTACGTGAAGCAACATTGGAGAAAATCCGGCGTCCACGCCAACCGTGACGCAGCTGCTGCGATGGCCGTTTTGACTGGTGTGGACAGGCTGGCCGGCCAGTCTTTTCGCGAAGGCTATTGAAGCCTATTGGGGGATGTAACCGAGATAGCCTTTTCGTACTTCGGGATCATCAGGCCCCATAATTTTCAAAAGGCAGCCGTGCTTAAAGAGGTCTCTGTCCTGAGCTCTACACGTTAAGCTAGCGCGCCCGTCTGATTCCCCAAGCGTACGGAGGCAGGCTTATTGCTCAGAGGATCGGTCTACCACGAAAGGGAGGCAGATGCCTACTACCTGTCCTTGGGTTTCAAGAAATATGGCACAATGGCGCTTCCCCTTCGCCCCATTGTTCTGGAAGATGACCAGGCCATTGCGAGCAAAGGCTATTGAATGCTATCGACTTCCGGTTTTGGGGGGTAGGCTCCGTTCCGTTGTCCAGGCCAGTGACTAGCGAAGGCTATTGAAGGCTACTGAAGGCTATTGAGTGTTGGGCTGGTGGTGCTATCCCCTGGTAAACCTGTGTGGACACCTTGCACAACTCTGCAGAAACCAAAAAGCCCAATGTGCCAGTTTCGAAGGCATGTCTGCCATTTGTATCTGCTGCCTCCCATGTAAATTCTCAGCTGCATGTGTGCTCACTGATGCCGTACGTGTCAAGGGAACCCTTTTGCCAAGCTTTGTCATAGACATAGCTCGAGAGCTACCATGGAGCGCTGACCGGCGCGTGAAAAACGATTGCATCTGTGCGATTGGTGCGGTGCAGCATTTGGTGCTGTCTTTGTCAGCTCTCATTTGTGAGGGCTCAGAGTGCTACCAGAATTGGTAGCGGAGCCTTCCGTGAAAGCGGTTGGCTCCGGGGGCCTTTGGACAGACTGTGGATCGTTTGCCAGCAACCTGTTACTTCTTGTGAAGGCGACGCCGTAGCCCAGCGGCAAGATGGAACGTGGCGATGATTCTGCATGCGCGTCTTGGGATGGTTCCCAGCATTCGTGGAACGACTATGTCAGAAAAGTGAGACTTCAGTGGGCCAGAACTCCGGAGAAGCGTAAGGGCCTCTTGGGGGCAGAGTTGGTTTCCAGACTTTCTGGGAAGGCGTGGGATGTGACCCGTGAACTGGATTTTTCCCGACTGCAGGATCGTGACGGCGCTGCTTATCTCCTGGAGGTGCTAGAGCAGCGCCTAGGCAGAACCCCGGTCCCAGATCTAGGCGTACGCCTAGAGCAGCTTTTCATGAGAACAAGGAGATCACCGGGGCAAAGCATGTCTCAGTGGTCGGCTGAACTGAGAGATGCCTACCGTAACCTGCAGAGAGCTATGGCCAGAGCACGAGCGGGAAGTCCTACGAAGAACGGCTCGCCCAAGGCAGGAGGTTCGAGTTCGCCAGCGAAGCTGAGCTCTACGGCTTTGAGGAGGAGATCATGGACCACGGCCGAGCCCGAGCCAGGTTTTGGTCTTGACGAAGACGACAGAAGAGAGGATGTCGATGACACCGGCGAACATCCTGACCATGAACTCCCGGTGGCCGATGAAAGGCGTACTGGGGCCCATTCTCGTGAGGCTGGTGATGCAGCAGCAGAACCCACTCGTGCCTGGACGGCAGAGGAATGGGAAGCATGGTATTCTGGATGGAATGGACGGCGCCGAGGACGCTGGGAGAATACCAGTGACGGAGGAGCAACGCAAGCTCAGACGCCTCTTCCAGAGCCCAAGTGGGAACGCTTTGCTCTGGAGGAGGTGGAGGTGCTGCCACCAGAAATTCTTGGCTGGTTGCTGCTGAGGAGAGCTAATCTGAGCAGTGCGTCACGTCTTGCAATCCTCAGCGTGACAGGCAACAAGCTTGAATTCGACCTGGTGGAGAAGGCTCTCCGTGACCAAGAGGAAGACTTACTTGCCTCGGAGCGACAACGAGATCCCCGTGCCGCACGACATCGTCGAAGCTACTGGGTGGAAGACCAAGGCGAATGGGGTTTGCTCGCTGAAGATGCCTTTGATGAGGCACATGAAGGAGGCGACGCCTCCCTGGACATTCACTGGGTAGGCAACAGACTTCCTGCCGAAGTATACCCCGTCGAGGAGATTGACGAGGAGTGGACCTCCTATGGTCACGACGGTGCCGAGATACACTGGGTGTGGTATGATAATGAGTGGCAGACCCAGGATGCTGAAGGTGCTTGGTGGACGTGGTCGGACTCAAAGCCCTGGATGGAGATTGACGAGTGCATGGCTGTGGACCCCCAGGCAGGGAAGGAGTTAGCAGACACCTTCGCCACCTTTCAGGACAAGGTGAGGACTTTTCGCGAGAGCCGCAACCTGATGAAGGCCGCTCAGACTTCCAGAGGGTTCTTTCCGATGAAGGGCAGCAAGGGCTCCAAGAAAGGGCGTTCGAAAGGAAAAGGCTTTGGACGTCCGAAAGGTAAGGGAGCCAGTGCACTTGCTCTTCAAGGTGATCGTGGAAGTTCCAGTTCCGCGTCCGGACAGAGGCCAGGGCAACCGGAGTGTACGGGGTGTTTCATCTGTGGATCCAAAGATCATGAGTTCAAGAACTGCCCTAAGCGCAAGTTACCTGGGAAGTCCGGTGGACCTGGAGGAAAGTCCTACTTCCTTGAAGACATCTCCCTCGAGGAAGTGTCCGAGGGTGAGATTCGGGATAACCACACAGCCATGGAAGAGCACAATCTCGAGGTCCCTGTGTATGAACCAGCGATCCAGTTTGATGAGTTGAATGATGACTCCAAGACAGTCTTGAAGGTGGAGCTTCGGGATAACCACACACCCGTGGAAGAGCACAACCTCGAGGTCCCGTTTTATGTTCCAGATGCAGTGTACATGGTGAGCCCAATCGAAGCCCCAAGTGATGGAGAACGTGAATCCACTCCGCATCCAGATGGTGCTCTACTGTGCAACACGGAGATCCTGTACGAGGTACCGTACCCCGAGGCTACGTTTACGGTGAATGCCTTGGAGTCAATGTGGGCCACATCAGGTCAGATGTACCCTGGATATGCAGTTGTGGACAGTGGAGCAACGGAGTCAGTTGGCTCCTTGGAAGCCATACAAGCAGTCATGTGCAGACGTCGGGAGCTTTATGGCGTGGAGACAGTGAGGATTTGTCCGAATCCTCACAAGACCTTTCGTTTTGGCGATGGCGAGCAGCTGTCGGCGATGAGCTACGTGGAGCTGCCGCAGAAACTTCACCAACGAGAGATCTCTTTCAGTGTGTACTCACTGGATGTGCCGCGAGTTCCCATTTTGATGAGCATTCGCACCCTCAAGAAGCTGGGGGCGATTGTGGACTTTGGCGAGCGGACGGTGTGTTTTTGCAAGATAGACAGGACCATTGTCATCCCCCTTACCGAGACTCGCTCAGGCCACCTTTTGATAGATTTAACAAAGGACTGGCTGAACGCAGCCGGGAACCGTGATAGCTGCAAGGATCGGCTTCCTTTCGCATCGACTTCCTCCCACAGCGGTGAGCAATACATGAGTGTTGAGGGTGAACGTTGTGAAGGGGATCAGTGCTTGCCTTCAACATGTGTTCCCGAACATGACATGTCAGACAAGTCTGCAGTGCCGTCAGTGTATGATCTGTCTTCGCCTGAGCTGGATCGACCCGTTGAGGAATGTGATGAATGTCCGCAGATGGGTTCAGCAATAGCTAGACCGACTTCCCAATTCGCATTCGCCCTCGCCTGTGGAGTTCATGGCGCAGCGGCGACCCTCGGCACAGACACCTACGATGTCGACGCCGCAGGAGAGGTCAGCAGCAGCTTCCTCGGCCACTGTGGAGAAGAAGAAGGGCCAGAAGGAGAAGGCCAAGATCCCCGAGGAAGAGCGTTACGACTTCTCAAGACAGGAGGGCCCGGACCCGAGAGACGGACGCACAGCTGGGGCGCCATGCTACGGAGAACACCAGATTATGAAGCCCGGACGCGGGAGCCTCTCCGGCTCCAACGCCCACGGATGGTGGCGAGTGTGCGAGAAGTGCAGACTAAGGTTGGCCTATGCACCAGCTTGGGGCGCTCACGGACACTTTCGCCAAGCAGGGCCCCTCAATGCGGACGTGAAGAAGGTGGTGATGGAGGTCGCCGAGAAGGAGAAAGCTGGGGAGACTGTGGACCGCGATGTCCTCAACGCCAAGAATGTGGCCCTGGACGGAGCGGAGAAGTCTCTCATCGACAAGCTGAGCAAGGTTCGTGCCGAGAAGGAGAAGAATCTGGCCAAGTCCAAGGGAGCTCAGGCAAAGTCGAAAGCGGCACCTCCTTCAGTTACGACAACTTCGTCGGAGGCACCTGCTACTCCGTCCATGGTGGACCTGACCCGCGACCAGGCGATGAATGTGACCCCGGGCCGGAAGAAGCAACGCGAGAACGAGATGACGGCGGAAGAACAAGAGTACCAAGGTCGAGACGACAGTTGGTCGTCGGTGGAGGTGATTCCCAAGGAATGAGTGACGAGCTTATGATTCAACGCGAGAAGGAGGAGATCGAGGACATTGCCGATCGCCTGATCCTGGAGGAGCGCTACGAGGACGATGAGTGCCTGGAATTCATCGAGCTCATGCTGGAGGCCAACCAGGAGAACTCCACCCGGGGCATCTTGAATGATGAGGATAAGAACGAGTACCTGTGCTTCGGCCTCTACGCTTTCGGCAACCACTATGGGGTGACAAACCGCACTCACCGTCTGGGCAAGGCAGTAAGATACCTCAACAACTTCCTCCTCCGACGCATGCCCGACCACCGCTGGACGAGCCTCGTGATCTCGAACAACAATCTTTTGCCAATGCGCAAGGACAATCACAACATTGGTTGGCATGCCCTGTATGGCCTGGGAAACTACTCAGGTGGTGGTCTTTGGCAAGAGATTGTGTCTGAGAATGACTCTGGTGGAAGAGCAGTACACTGGCGTTCCGACGGAAATGGAGTCCTTCGGCCAGGAGTGATACATGAATCTCGAGGCACTCCTGTTTACTTCCCTCCAAAAGTGAATCATGCCACGGAACCCTGGAAAGGCAACAGAATCCTCATTACAGCGTGGACGAGCCGAGGGATACAAGCATGTGAACCAAAGAATCGACGACTACTTCGTCGGCTGCTCTTTCCAGTTCCTATGAAAAGCGAGATACAGTGTTTCACAAGCACCTGCTCATGTGAGTGTATTCTGGCGGAAGAAGATGAAGATGGCATGATCACTGTGGAGCGAGAGACGCCGGAAGACGTCCAGGAAAGTCTGGAGGAGATCCTGTTGGCCGCTCAAGAAGAGCTGCGCACGCAGATCACGGAGTTGCCCCAGGTGCGAAAGTATGACTTGGACCTACTTTGCCTGGGAGGACAAAAGCCCAGCTACTTGAGTGAATGGATCGTGGCCAATGCAGGAAAGAGCCGAACCCTCACGGCCCGCGAGTGTGACCTCACTCCAAGAAAGGCTCCAGCTTTGCGGAACAGGTTCTGGCCACGTGCGCTTCACGCTGGCTCGAGATTGAACTCCCCTTCTTTCAAGATGAGACTGAGGGTGAAAATGTTCGATCCTCAGAGGCACAGGAACAGCGAAAACGCCAAAGGAGGAAGAGAATCCTCAAGAACCTGATGATGTTGGGGTTTAAACATCTTGCCGGTGGAGGAGAACTTGTGGTTCGGGGCCAGGCGGACACACTGGCCTGGAAAGATCCTCAAGTCAAGGACCTCCTACATCAGCTAGTTTCTCAAGGGCGATTTCACTGCTTACCAGGACTGCTTCCACCTCCTGATGAAGTACCACATGATCGACAAGGACGTCGGGACCCTCGAGTTCGGCTGTGGACTACCTCAACGAGGATCAAGCAAGTATGGGAGCATGTGAACTTCCGAGGTCACAAGAAAGCCGAGGAACAATGGAACCGGATTGGCCAGGACATCCTCGACCAGACCGAAACTGCCCTGGCGGTGGAGAGCACCCTTCCTGTGGAAAGTTTTTCGGCGGAGGAGAGAAAGAAGTATCAAAAGATTGTGCACCAGCTGCACAAAAGAGCCGGACATCCCTCGAATCACACGCTGGCTGGAATGCTTCGAGCCCGAGGAATCCATAAGGAGGTGGTGAAGATGGCTTTGGATCTGCAGTGTGCTGATTGTCAAGAGATGCGATTGGCAGACTCTGCCCCTGCGGTATCCCTCCACCAGTCGGACACTCCTTGGAAAGTTATACAGGTGGACAATGCCGAGCTCAAGGTGGGTAATCAAGTGACCCACTTTATGCTGATTGCGGATGAGGCAACTCACTTGATTGTGGCAGCCTACCTGTATACCAGGGAGAACACTGAGGGGAGAAACGCAACGGCAGAGGAGGCAGTGAAAGCAATAGAACAACATTGGGTGCAGATGTTCGGCCTCCCCGCTACACTTCGCCTTGATCCGGAGGGATGCTTCAGATCAAAGTTTCTAGAAGAGTGGGCCTCTGAGAGAGGAGTTGAAGTGTTGCCCAGTCCAGGAGAAGCCCATCAACAGACAGGATTGGTGGAATCTTTGATTGGCAAGGTGAAGAAAGATGCAATCACCTTGATGGCTGGAGATGCTATGGACCCCTTCCGCGCTATCCTGAATGTTGTTGCTGCCCACAATACGGTACATCGTACGAAAGGCTTCTCCCCGGCACAGTGGGCTTTCGGTAGAGATTTTGGAAGTGATGGCCGACTGTTTGACAGTGAACATGGACTTCCATGCGTACAAGCGAAGGTCTACAACGACACGACCTTCGGAGAGAGTCTCAACATAAGAGAGGCCGCTGCGGCTGTCTATCGCAAGTCACAAGCAGACCATCAGATGTCTCGGCTGATGAACATGAAGACAAGGCCAAGTCGCCAATACCTGCCGGGTGACCTGGTGTACTACAGAAGAGTGAAGCCACCTGCCGACAACCCTGCACATCCAGCTCTTGGGGCACCCAAGATCAATGGTGGACGTTGGTATGGACCAGGAAGAGTGGTGGCGACTGAGACTCGCTCTGATTGCTATGGTTTGGAGCGACGGCCAATGAAAGTGGTGTGGATCTCGTCAGCTGGACGACTCAAGAGGTGTGCCCCTGATCAGTTGAGACATGCCTCAGAACGAGAAGCAATCCTTGCTGAGGAGGCAACGGAGAAGGTCACTCCGGGCTGGACGTTTCATTCTCTTCTGCGTGGCCTGGACAAAGGAAACTTCGAGATTTTCGATGACTATGTGTTCCCAGAGAACTCAGAAGTGAAGGTGCACAGACGAAGTCACCGCTCAAGGACACCCGCACGAGGAGATCAACGAGCTCCTCAGGTTGTCCCACAGAACGAAGGGGAAGCACCAACGTCATCTACTTCGAGTCAGATTCCAAGAACTCCAGGACGAACAGGAGAGGCACCAACGTCAGCTACTTCAAGTCAGATTCCGAGAACTCCAGGACGAACAGGAGAGGCATCAGGGGTCAAAAGACATGTGTCGTTGGATCGCTACCTGACAGACCCAGGGTACAATCCAGATCTATTTCAGCAAGCTATGAGACGTCCGGAGGGTCCTGGATCAGGTGAAGCAGCTGGAGAGCTTCAAGATAATACTGCGTTCAAGAAGGCGAGACAACAACATGAATTACTAGACCGGCCTCTACACGTCATACAACAAGAACGTCCTGGAGGAGATGCTTCACATCCCGAAGCAGGCTTTCACCTAGAAGGACATGGTCTTGTGTCAGATGACGAGCTGCTGGTGTGCAAGTTTGAGATTAAGCTTCCAGAGAGGGCTAATCAATGGAAGAAGTTCAACCGGGATGCTACCTCATGGGTGGTGAACGACCTGCGCAAGAATGAGGTAAAGTATGCTCGCCTCAATCCTGAGGAAAAGAAACAGTTCGATGCCGCCAAGACGTCAGAGATCAATCAATGGATCAAGGAGAAGGCAGTCAAGCGCGCTACAGCCGAGATTCCCCGCGGGAGAGTGATGAGAATGCGCTGGGTGCTCACGTGGAAATCGGATCCACAACCAGAAAATCCCGACCACCACAAGGCTAAGGCACGGCTGGTGGTGGTAGGATTCGAGGACCCGGACTTGACTGAAGTCTCACGAGCATCACCTACAATGACTCGTCGCACGAGACAGTTGCTCTATGTCTTGGCGCGATTGCGAGGCTGGAGAACTATGAAGGCAGACGTGAAAGCTGCCTTTCTGCAGGGAGAAGGATCCCAGCAGCAGAGAGAGATATTTGCGATGCCGCCATGCGAACTGTCCCAGGCCATGAACATCCCACCTGGAGAGGCCATTCAGCTAGTCAAAGCTGCGTACGGCCTAGTTAACGCTCCGGCCGAATGGTATAAGTCGGTGCATGCCACATTGTCCAGACTGGGATTCCAGAGGTTACGCACTGAACCTTGTTGTTGGCGACTCACCCGCTATGTCGCCGGCAAACCAGTTCTTCTGGGAGTGGTGGTTGCACACGTGGACGATTTTATATTGGCCGGAAATGAGAATGATGAGATGTGGCTACAAGCAGTGCGAGACTTCCACTCCACATATCGGTGGTCACCTTGGGAATGCCGAGACTATCCCCACTGTGGAGTGCAAATACATGAGGGCGAGCAGGAAACGGTCATGTCACAGGCCGACTACTGCGCACAGCTCAAGCAGATTGAGGTTTCCAATCGAGATGAAGACCTCCCGGCCACCGAAGAGGAGAAGAGTCAACTACGTGGATTGTTGGGCGGAATCCAGTGGAGAGCCTACTCCACGGCTCCCCAGCACCTCGCGACGCTGTCCATGCTCCAGACACAAGCGAATGCAGCTACTGTGAAGACCCTGAAAGCCGCGAATAAGCTATGTCGTGAAGTATACCACCATCGACATGAAACAATCAGGATACAAGATTTAGGAGTGCAGCCTGAAGATGTCGTTTTTCTCACATGGTGCGATGCGGCTGTGGGCAACCGCCCTGACTTGAAAAGTACTGGAGGACATTTGGTCTGTGCTTCTGTTCCCGCGATTCTTGAAGGGGAATCTGCCCCAGTGATTCCCATATCTTGGAAGAGCGGAAAACTGCAACGAGTATCACGCTCCTCGCTCGCTGCAGAGACACAAGCATGTTCGGAAGCTGAAGAAGAACTGATGTATGTCAGGGTTCAATGGTGGGAAATGCTTGGATACGATATTGATCTTCGTCGGCCAGAACAAGCATGTAGCAAGGTCACAGGAGCTCTGATTACAGATGCGAAGAGTCTCTACGACGTGTTGATGAAGGGTGACCTCAATAGTGCAGCAGCTGGCTTGAAAGAAAAATACAGTGCTTTGGAAGCCCTGTCTTTGATCGAACGTATCCATGCCTCCAAGACCAAGATCCGGTGGGTTCACAGTGACGCTCAGGTTGCAGATGCCTTGACGAAGCCATCGCCGAGTGGAGCATTACATGCTTTGCTGACGCTGGGCCGTTGGAAACTCATATATGACCCGTCGTTCACCAGCGCCAAGAAGAGACGCCAAGAATTCAATTTTCGGCAGTAGATTGTTGGGCGTGCCAGTTTCGAAGGCATGTCTGCCATTTGTATCTGCTGCCTCCCATGTAAATTCTCAGCTGCATGTGTGCTCACTGATGCCGTACGTGTCAAGGGAACCCTTTTGCCAAGCTTTGTCATAGACATAGCTCGAGAGCTACCATGGAGCGCTGACCGGCGCGTGAAAAACGATTGCATCTGTGCGATTGGTGCGGTGCAGCATTTGGTGCTGTCTTTGTCAGCTCTCATTTGTGAGGGCTCAGAGTGCTACCAGAACAATGAAGCCCTCGGAAACCTTCTCAAAGCCCTAAGCCCTAAACCCTACACCAAAAAAACCCTAAACCCTAAACCCTGCATTTAACAAAGCATCGGATCGTTCGTACACCCTGGAGTTGGGAGTTCATGAACACCTCCCCAGAGACTCCAAAACCCCTTAAATAAGGAATATACCTTAAATCTTATTAGGTTTTTTTTTGATTTAACGTATATTCCTTAATTAAGGGGTTTTGGGTTCTCTGGGTCACCGAGGCTTAGAAGTGCACCAAGAGATCAACGGGATGACGGGCACGCTGGTGGAGCCTCAGCCGCAAAGGGGGGCCTACTGATTCAGGTTTGCCCCGAAGCAATGTCTAGCCCAAGTAGCCACACGAAGGTGTGCCAGAAAGATTTTGGAGTATTGTTTTGATGAGCCCAAAACCTTAAACCCCTAAACCCTAAACCCTTAAACCCTAAACCCCTAAAACCTACGCCCCTAAACCCGTAAACCCCTAAACCCTAAACCCCTTAAAACCCTAAAAACCAAGGGCCTCAGTGGTGTCAGGCCCGGAAGGCAGGCTTGGGCTTCAGAGCTTTCCCTAAAAGGTCCATGTGGGTAGTTCTCTAAAGTAGGGCCCCTTTATTAGGTGCCAAATCGAGTGTTTAGGGTTTAGGGGCTTAGGGTTTTTAGGGTTTTTAGGTTTTAGGGTTTAGGGGTTTTAGGTCCCAAAATATAGCACGGCACCCCTTATAAAAAGGGCCCTAAAAGGGACCCTAATTTAGAGAACTACCGCATGTGTGTACTCAAGCCGTCTGAACAGCAGTGGAACGACCCTAAGCCCTACACCCCGCAGACCCTGAATCTCTAAAAACCCGCGAAGCCCTAAAACCCTAGGTTTAGGGCTTCTAGGGTTTAGGGAACCTTAAACGCTGAAATCCCTCAAGCCCTGCACCCTAAACCCTAAACGCTTAATCCCTGAAGCCCCACACCCTAAACCCCCAAAACATGGAGCTTGGCACCCGAACCCTAAACCCTAAACGCTTAAATCCCTAAACCCTAAAAACCCTAAACCCTAAACCCGAACCCTTCACATTGAAAGGCCTGGGATCGGATGGAGGAGCGATGGCAGGCGCGCCTTGTGGGATCGAGGGACCCAGAGAACCGCTTAATTAAGGAATATGCCTTAAGTTACTTAAGGCATAATAGGAATTTATAGGGGCCTTAATATTATGCCTTAAATTATAATAGGAACCCTTTATAGGGGCCTTAAGATTATGATTTAGGGTATATTCCTCAATTAAGGGGTTTTGGAGTCTCTCGGCTTTCGGGATCTAGGGATAGGGTTGACGGTTTAGGGTTTAGGGTCGAGGGTCCAGTGTTTACGGCTTGGGGTTTGGGGTTCGGGGACTTTATAGGAGTGCTGCTTAGGCGTTTGGAGGATTTTTGGCGGGCTTTGAGTTTAGGCCTTGAAAGAGCTTGGGGTTCGGGTTTTGAGGGTTTGGGCATTGGATTTTGGAAGTATCGCTAAACCCGAAACCCAAAACCCTACACCCTAGACCCCCAAAGCCCTAAACCCTAAAACCCCAAACCCTAAAACCCTAAACCCTAAACCCTATCGGATTTAGCCGTTTGGGATTTGGAGTTCGGGCTTTTTGGGTTCTGGGCTTCCGCGATTCTACAATGTTTTCAGGGCTTCGGGCTTTAAAGTTTAGGCTTTAAAGTTTAGGGTTTAGGGGTTTAGGGTTTATGGTTTAGGGGTTTACGGGTTTAGGGGTTTAGTGGTTTAGGGGTTTACGGGTTTAGAGTTTAGGGGTTTTGGGTTTAGGGTTTAGGGTTGAGGAGTTTAGGGTCTAGGGGGGCAGTAGACAGCAGGGTTTCTACCGTAGGAATTCTCATGATGGTTTGCGCAAGTACCGTAAGCCCTTACCCTGTTTCCTAGACCGTAGGGGGCCTTTGGGAGAGAAGGTATAGATCCCCCCAGAGAACTACAGAACCCGTGAACGAACCAGAAGGTGAACGACCTCCCTGTGGCTTTGGTGTGTATCTTCTAGACAAGAATACGGATGTGTGTTGTGGGATTGTTGGTCATGCTTCGGCGAGGTTTCCACGCTCAAGCCAGCGGACCCGCGGTGCACCTAACCCTAAACCCTAAATCCTATAAACCCTACAAACCCCATTAACCCTATAAACCCTATAAACCCTATAAACACTATAAACCCTATAAACCCTTTAAACCCTTTAAGCCCTATAAGCCCTATAAACCCTATAAGCCCTATAAACCCTATAAACCCTTTAAACACTATAAACCCTATAAGCCCTATAAACCATAAAGGATTCCTGAGAAGCCATGGTCACCATGGGTGCCCAACTAGTTCTGAAGTACGGCTTGGAAGCATCAGTGACCTTTCCGGGATACCTTCTTCTGGAAGGACTAGATGGCAAGCAGTACCTGCCGGTTTAGGGGTTTAGGGTTTTAGGGTTTAGGATTTAGGGGTTTAGGGGTTTAGGGTTTAGGGTCTAGGTCTAAACCCTAAGCCCTAAGCCCGAAACCGATGAGGGCCAGCTCCGTTCCCATTGTGCTAGTTCTTGACAGGGGTCCAAAATCCAGCGAAGGCTTCTCGGTCATTCTGCAAGCCTTTTCTAGAGCCCTAAACCCTAAACCCATCCCTATATAGGTAGGTACTTAGGACCTAAGCCCTAAACCCTGAACCCTAGGCCCTAAACCCTAAACCCATATCCCTATAGAGATAGGTAAGGGACCGAAACCCTAAACCCATATCCCTATATAGGTCCCTATAGAGCAACCGTTGTTACAGGAGTCCTTAAAGGAACAATAACGGAACCCCCAAAAGGAGCCCTTAAAGGAACCCTTTAAGGAACCCCTAAAGGAACCTTAAAGGGAACCCTTAAAGCTAACCCTTTAAAGGAACCCTTAAAATCAACCCTTTAAAGGAACCCTTAAAGGAACACCGAAAGGAACCCTTAAAACCAACCCTTGAAAGGAACCCTTAAAGGAAACCCCTAAAGGAACCCTTAAAACCGACCCTTGAAAGGAAGCCCTAAAGGAACCCTGCAAGGAAACCCTACAGGAACCCTTACAGGAACCCTTATGACAGGCACCCTTATTACAGGAACCCTGAAAACAGGAACCCTTAAAGGAACTTTTATATAGATCCCTGTTTTTATAGGTAGGTACATACGGTTGATAATGTACATCCTGCATTACCCCAGAATAAGGAATATGCCATAATTCCCATAGTTTAGAATCCTTAAGGTAATGCAGGATTTATATCATCAACAGCAAACCCCTAAACCCTAAACCCCAGAACTGCCTAGAACCCTATAAGGCAACAGTATAGTTTAGAGTCCTTAAGGTAATGCAGGATGTATATCATCAGCAGTAAACCCTAAACCCTAAACCCAAAGCCCTATAAAACCCTAAACCCTAAACCCATGGTAACCCTAAACCCTAAACCCTACAAACCCTAAAAACCCTAAACCCTAAACCCTATAAGCCTAAACCCCTAAACCCTATAAACCCTAAACCCTACACCCTAAACCCTAAACCCTAAAGGCAGGCACATGTTGCCCTTTTGGGACAGCCAGGTC